GAACATTTATTTCTATCTACACAGCTAAAGCTTGCTCAGGATTTCTATTTGGCTTGTCTTGACTACTGCATCGTTACCATCCCTGGATACTCTGACATCTACATTCCCCTACCTCTAGTCCATTCAAAATGCAGCTGCAGAACATCTTCCTTTTGGTCTCATGAGTGGAAAACATATATTGGTGCTACAGAAACAATCCCAGCAGTTGATTTGGGTTGGAAAACTGTTCTTTGCAGTTTTCAGAAATGTCTTTTTTTTATCGAAGCTTGTGTAATATCCACAATAAATTGCAATGCACCAATACTTTTAAATAAAAGGGAAAATTCCCATAGCAAATATTATTTCATAATAAGGGCCATACTGGGTCAGACCAATTGTCCATCTAGCCCAGTATCCTGTCTTCGGTCAGTGGTCAATGCCAGGTGTCCCAGAGGAAATGAACAGAACAGGGAATCATCAAGTGTTCCATCCCTGTTACCCATTTCCAGCTTCTGGCAAACAGAGGCTAGGGACACCGTCCTGCCCATTAGCCATTAATGGACCTATTCTCCATGAACTTACCGAGTCCTTTTTTGAACCATATCCGTGAATTTATCTAGACATTAGTTATCATTAGGATTTACCTTTGAATCTGATTTCTTCTCAATAGAGGGTTTGGCACTTTTACATTTGCACATACTTGGGGATCTATCAAAACATGCCTCATACTGAACTCAATCATTGGCAACATGTGTTTGAAGTATTTAATTGGATTTTAAATACTGTTAGCAGGTTTTAGGAAATACTTTAGGTAGCCCATTTCTGTCCTCTAATGGTATAATCCTGAGACATGCAGAGCACTTACAACTTCCACTCATGTGAAACGTTGACTAACAATTCAAGTACCAGCCCTATGAATGCTCGGTGGGAGACAACAAAGGAGTCTTTTACAGGATCAGCCCCTTAATCCTTGACATGGAGACACACTTGCAATTGTTGGGTAATTTATATAGAAGTTAGTAAGATGCTCAGCCAAATTTTGCTCCCTCTGAAGTTAATGAAACTCTGGCCCAAAATTTAATGTAACTTACCCATTTGCAAAATCTGGAGATTTATATCCACCCCATCCCCCAGGACCAGAACTTATTTTCTAATTAAAAAAAAATATCAGTACCACAGCCTTGTGCTCACAAGTATCCCTACAATAAGAGACTATAGTATGTGTAGGATGGAGATGGAAAAATTAAGTAAGGAAATATATTTTCATTCCAAGTGTTCCAGGACTCCTCATAAATAGTGAGTCAGATATGATTATAAAAAAATCTTGTGTTTTTTGAAATAGCTCTATACAAGTGGTCCAATGCAAACACAAAATACAACCAGGGTTTGTTGATAGGCTCTCTGAGGGTGGTACACAATTCAGGCAGACCACTTGCAACTGTCAAATGAACTTCCTGGATTATGGGGGTGGAGATTGTGATATTCGTTGAAACCATAGGAAAGTTGGATGAGTTTCTTTGTTTTCAGATTTGTTCAAGCTCAGTGAGGCATGAGTTCATATGAACTCCTCCCCAACAGGTATCTGATCTCCTGTGATGCCAAATCATCAGACTTCATAGTGCTAATTTTAAACCAAAGCATTAGTGTTTAGGAAGTTGAACTGTGTTTGTGTTGGATTCAGATGCCACTTCTCCTCATTAACTTTAAAGTAATGAGGGCTTGATGCTGCAGTGACTGAAGGAAGGACTGAGAAGTGGAGAATTAGAACAGTGTAGAAGAGATCCAGTTTCAGGACACTGAAGGAGCTGAGTGGGTAAAAAAATCCTACAGGGTTTTGGGAGTAGAGATGCTGGAGGAAAAACTTTTTCCACATTCAGATTAGAGGCAAGTTTGGGACCTAGAGGCAGCCACATTGCAGTTGTTAAAGTAGAGTGGGAACAGGAGGGGGAACTCTCACCACTTCGACTAAATAGGAAGTGCTCATTGCAACACACCTAAGTTAGAGGGAGAGTTCCCCTTTGGTAAAGGAAGGGATGGCTGCACTCCTTTCTGGTCCCCTTCACTTATGGGTGGAATCAATGGGGGATTTGTGTGCTGGGTGGGAGAGGGGAAAATACTACAGGAGCTGCTCTCTACTCAGTGGTTCCTGCCATTTTTAAGTATGCGGACCTCTTTTCAATCTATTACAATTGAAAATCTATTAGGGGAAAAAAAGATTGGGCCCACCTGGTGGGCCTGATCCTTATTTTTAAACTTTCCACTCACTCCCTGCAGTACTGACAGGGGCCACACATTGGGAACTTCTGTTCTACTTCATTTCTCTTTCTCTGACCTCCTGAGCGCGCACATAGTAAAACTGGTGTTAGCCCTGAAAGGTTTCATTATGGTTCTTTGATAATATATACAGGTTCTTCCCCACCCTTTTGTGTTTTGAATAAGGGACTCTGACTTGGACAGTCCTGTATGTGCTGGTGTCCCATTTCTCAGCCATTCAAATTTTCTCGAAGAGGAGGGGTTGGCTTGTGAAAATTAATTAAAGACATAAATTCTGTGCTTAGGACAAAAAAAAATCATCGTGAGACACCAGAATTGTATTGCAGATTGGTAGGATGTGTTTTAATTCATGTTGCAAAAGGCTGGTTGTAACTAGAAACATCGTTAGTAACATGATATAATAGAGGAACATGATAGGGCTAAAACTAAGTTTTTACACCAAGGGCCAGATTTCTCTCTCATAAGATAATTATATGGCCTCCATCCCTGTTGATTCTAAGTGTGTCTCAACATACACGTGAAACTGGGAAATACTATTATCCCTATTTTACAGGTGGGAAACTGAAGCATAGGGACCGATTTGCGTAATGTAACACAGGATAAATGTGTCTACACTGGCGCGATCTTGCGCCAAAGCGGCTGCTCTTGTGCAAAAACTTGCTTCCTGTCTACACTGGCCGTGTGTTCTTGTACAAATAAACTGACGTACTGCTGTATAAAATCAGGGCTTCTTGCGCAAGAACTATGATGCTCCCGCTCAAGAATAAGCCCTCTTGCACAAGAGGCCAGTGTAGACAGGCAACGTGAATTTCTTGTGCAAGAAAGCCGTATGGTTAAAATGGCCATCACAGCTTTCTTGTGCAAGAGAGCGTCTACACTGGCATGGATGTTCTTGTGCAAAAGCACATATCTTGCGCAAAAGCACATGCCAGTGTAGATGCTCTCTTCTGGAAGAGTTTTTGCAGAAGAAGTCTTCCGCAAAAGAGTTTTGCATGAGAACGCGCCAGTGTAGTCCAAATGTATAATGGAGCAGGGACTTGAAACAATGTCATCCACTATCTAAGTTGGAACTCTAATCACAGTCTAGCATCCCTCATCTCAGTACACATTAGCCCTGCAATGAACCTTTTCCTCAATCCTGACCTTTTTTTTTTGTCAGGGAACCATTCTGGCCTTCTATTTGATCCTAGATTAATATCAAAATAATTTTATATTATTTTTTAATTACAATGCTTCTGAATGTCTCTCATTTTAAAGCATGTGTTAAGTTATTGTGTGTAGTGCCCTTGCCAGGTATTGGTGAAAAGTTCCCAGGAAAGGATATTGAGAGAACAACTGAATATGAAGACATCTGTCTTCATGCATTTTCTATGGCAGGTTTTATTTAAATAGCTGTTGGCAAGGGCTGTATAGGTGGGGTGTTTGTGTAGGTTTATTTTAGTAAAGTTTGTTGGATGAAAGGTGCAATATAAGTGCTAAGTAGTAATTATTACGGTTTCATCAGCTGCTAGCTAAAGTTCTTTTACTTGCTGAAACTAATAAGGAATCAGGAAATATACAGTATGTATCATACGATCCTAATAACAGTGTCCATATTTTTAAAAATCCTTTTGTTGATTTGCTGTCATATGATTCCACTGACTCTCTCATACTGTGGGACATTCAAGTCTAATAGAAAGGTATCTGACAAGAGGAGATAACATACATTTAATTCTAATTTTGCTATTGTTCTTGACTGCATTCTGATTGACCCGCTAAATGGAAAAAAATCTTGTCACATCTATATCTCTCTGAATAACTCTCATGAAGAAGAGCAATCCGCGGTTGCCATACTTTAAACACTGCCAGTCCGCTCTTGAGAGACTGAATTTGTTGGAATCACTTGTCAAGAGAGTGTGGCTAACTGTACAAAAGAAACACTCTTTATTCTATTTAGTATATTCATTGTTTTAACTAGCTCTTCCTTTAGATTTTTTGTAAAACATGTCTCCACTGCTAGAAAACTTGCTGTACATCACATTTCCTCTCTAAATAGCTGGTGAGATCAATGCATTATCTTGCAGTTCAAATGTTATTACTCCCAGCTATTCAGGAAAGAAACATCATGTATTCCAACAACAAATTTTCATTTTTTTAAAAATAGGGCACAGTGCAGGATTGGAGTGAGATTAAAATAACTATAGGCTACTACTTTAATATGAGTGATTCAACACCTGGTCTGCCTTTTTGAAGACATGGCTATACTAGGCTTACAGAGTTGTAAGCATATAATACTCAGTGTGTCAAATACATCTCTGCTTTAACACCATTGAAATTATAACGTTGTAAAGAATTAGCAGACCATGTTGGTTTAAATAATAGCTATATATATTATGCATATGCTCTCTGGCCATGCAAATTAAATAGTTTAAGCAAATTTTAAGGGCTTATTGGTAATAAGTTCATTACACTTTAATATTTATTCCGCTATGTTCTTTTTGTAGTCCACTCTTTCAGTTTTTTTTGTCTGAAAGCTGCCTTTTCTGACTTGTCTAAATGCCAAGCTAAAGCACTGGAGACACATGTTTCAGAACTGTTCAAAATGCTCCAATTTTAGGGTTCACCCTGATGCAGTTGTCCCTGGCCTTAATTAGAATTTTGTTGAGGTGGGAAGAGAACTGGAGGTCTTAGAAGAACTTCACACACTTAGCTTTAAGGACTCACATTCATGTTCTGGAAATAAACGTCTTGTTCTTGGTATCCCACAGATGGTACTCGACAGGAAGAAGTGGAAGGTGAACTTAGTGAAGAAGAGCACTGGTTTGGAAACTCTTCGGAGACTCCATCGGAAGCATCATATGGAGAAGTACAGGAAAACTTCAAGTTATCTCTTGAGGATAGAATCCAAGAACAGTCTACTTCCCCAGATACTTCTTTGGGAAGTGCAACTCCTAGCAGCAACACGCTGGAGCTGGTAGCTATTGACAATGAAGCTTTAAGAGAGACATTACAGAGCAAAGAACACCTTTCTTCTGACGTGTCATCTTTGTGTGAAGATGAACCTCCTGGTCCAAATAAGCCACTGAGTAGTAACCTGAGAAGGCTTTTGGAAGCTGGTTCTCTCAAGCTGGATGCTGCTGTCACAGTCAATGGCAAGGTCGAGTCCCCTGTAAATGTTGGTTCAAATCTTTCCTTTTCCCCACCTACTCATCATGCCCAGCAGCTAAGTGTTCTTGCCAGGAAGCTTGCTGAGAAACAGGAACCAAATGACCAGTACAATGCAAGTAATCGATTCATATGGAATCAAGGTAAGTGGTTGCCAAACTCAACCACCACCTGTGGTTTGTCCCCAGATTCAGCTATTCTGAAATTGAAAGCCGCAGCCAATGCAGTTCTTCAGGACAAATCAGTTTCAAGGACTGAAGATACTATAAGATTTGAATCTTTTTCTTCACCTTTTAGTTCCCAGTCTGCCAGCTCCACCTTAGCGGCTTTATCAAAGAAAGTTAGTGAAAGAAGCATGACTCCTGGGCAGGACCACCCACCTCCAGCCAGTTCTTTCCTTTCCTTGGCTTCAATGACCTCCTCAGCTGCCCTACTCAAGGAGGTGGCTGCAAGGGCTGCAGGCAGCCTGTTGGCGGAGAAGAAAAAGTCAGTAGTTGCAGAGGATCCTCTGCAGCTTTCAGAGATGAAGCAAGAGAAAGTAACTCCACCACAGTCTTTGGAATTATTGTTACTTCCAGTCCCTAAAGGAAGAATTTCTAAACCCACTAATACAGGTATGGACCCAGATTTTAACCATCAAATAAGGCATGTTTGCTTTCCTCTAGATTTATTTAGTTCTTCTTCCCTGATCTGGTTTGTATTGTTTCCACTTATTACAAAAATAAGAAGAAAATAAGCAATAGGATAGATTTTAAACTACCATTTGAAGATCAAACCTTCACAAATGTTTCCATATTTGAAAGGTAATGAGTGTACAGTTCAATACTTTTTTTATTCCATACAAATGTATTTTTTTCCTCGCCAAGTTCAGAATAGGTCCATACAAGAAATATTTAATGGGGAAGATCAAAGAATCCCTGTCAGGGAGCTCATGGTATCAGTGAACATGTACAAAACCAGTGCTTTTGAAATATTGGACAAGGGAGAATTTTGCCTCCTGCTGTCTCTGTCACAAATGGACTTTTGTATAATCGCTTACTACCCTGTCCTAATTTACCAGAGTATATTATTATGTTGCCACTTTTCATTAGAATTTTCTGCAGAAGCACGAACAAATCTCACATGTTCATTCTTTCACAATTCTTTGTCATAAAAAAATAGAAGAAAATGAACTGCTTTTTTTCCTAATTCTGCTCAACAAAACCTGCTTTATACTACTTGACCTCCCCACCCTCTCCCCGCTTCCTCCCTAGTTCTGTCAGCATTCTGAGATATAAGCCTGTTGCAAACAATACTGCTAACAAAAAAAATCAGGCAAGATATGGAGAATTACATAATTTCAATGATCAACATAAGCAATATTCATGTTTCTTATATACCATCATGTCTTCAAAAAATTGTATGAATCACATGTTCATGTTTCCATGGACATCTACATGGAATTTAGGTGTTATCTTGCTAATAATGAAATTCTGACAAACAGGATGATAAAGCTGATCAAAAGCATTCACAAAATAAAAGGCTTGGGTGTTACGTGGTTAGGAATTATCTATATGGCAAAGTTTTAGCAGTATAGTTAAATTGATACAGTTCTGTGAACAGTTTTATTCATTCATCAAAGAGGTTGTTTTTTTCCCCCCAAGTAAGCTTACGTTACTTTGGAAGGGATTTACATTAAATTGGGAAAAAAAACTTCTTATGCAGGAATAAGACTGTTTGCATATAGAGTTTTACTAATGTAACTGTATGATTTAAATTCATGCCTTAATGTTATACTGGTATAACTTTCTCATATAGAAAAGCTCTTAAAGAGAGAGGATACCAAGGATTCAGTGTTGTTTAATATACTACATAATTTTAAAAATGTTAATATTATCTGCTTATTTACTGCATGTGCAAAACATAGTCACAGGATTAGTTACTTGATAAGAAAGAGTAATGCAGAATAGAAACTTTATCGTAGTAAAATCCGACTTCTATATGTTTGGCTAATGAAAGGTGGAATCTTATCGGTACACCTTGGGGGAGAAAAGGAGTGTAGATATATATGCAGTGCTGGCAATTCATAAATTGGCTGTGATTCAGTGAAATCTCTAGCGCCTACTCTCTTTGCTTAAGACACATGAAGGCTGAAAGGCAGTGATAGGAGCATGTTACCTCAGGGCCTTGGTAACCATGAAATAATCTTTTCTTTTTGCGCGCGCGCGTGCTTTCTCTCTCTCTCTCTCTATAAAAACAAATACGATCAGTTTATATAGTACTGGGCCTTCACCAACTTCAGTTGGCATCCAAACAAACTTTATCATGATAGATTAATAACAGGGATATTTATTTCTGACATGTTCATTAGTTTTTGACTGAAAGGAATTATCCAAATAAAAATAAAGGACCAAGAAAAGCAATCAGGGTATTTGGATTTTGAAGGAATTTGGATCTCCATAATCATTCTTTCTGCTGTCGAGACGTACAGCTTGCAGAAAGAGGTCACTGTTGTGTGACTTTTGAGTAGTAGACATTAACAGCACTCCTCTAAAATACTGAGTTGGGCACTATATTTGCTATGAAAATAAATGTCGTACATTCCTTTAATTCTTTTTGCAGCCATGGTTTTTTAGCAGTAATTCTTTCTGCAGCCACATTTTTATGGCATTGAAAGTATAATATAATATTTCATTTTATAAAGTTTTGTCTGTTTGTGTGGGCCTTCTCTTGAAGACATGTTTGTTTCTAGAAAAATAAACTTATTTTCCCTGAAGGCACTGATTGGCAGATTTTTTCATATTTTATAATTGAAAAAAGTCTGCTTCCAGTTATTATGAGTCAATTTCTTTCACCAACTGTGAAGATATCAGTGATGGCCAATGGTCAGTGAGATCAACTATGAGATATTGGGGGAAAATAAGGAGCCAGCAAAGGGGGAAATGTATTTGTGTTTAAAAAAAGAAAAAAAAGCCACTCTTAACAAGCCTACACCATGAATTAAGCTCGAAGTTCAGAAACTTTTAGTATATAAACAGCAATAGCACATCAGATGGTAGTCTTGTCACATCTCAGATGCTCACCTTATTTAGGCCTCATCATTACTTGGATGGGAGATGGCTAGGTTGTGCAGAAAGAGACTGAAGTGGCACCCACTAAATCATTATACCAGCAGTGCTATGGAACATTTTAAATTTGGTAATGCTATCTTTTGGATGAAATGTAAAATGAAGTCCTGATTCTGATTCTCCTTTCACATCTTGTAGCTCCGTAGGATTAACTGGAGTTGTTCCTAATTTTACATCAGTATAATTGAGAGGTGACTCAAAGCCCATATTCTTCATTGCTTATGCTAAAGCATTGTGTGTTATAAGCAATTCTTGTGCTCCTTCCTAGAAATGGATATTTTGTGGTGGATCACGTAATTCCTGTCTGTCGGAAATTCTTATTGTTGTTGGAGTTGTACTTGCTCATTCCAGTCCTGGGTTTGGCTTAAAGTAATGTACTAAATTGCTTGTAAACCACCTTGTTTATAGACCTGTTACTAATAGATTAGACAGGTGACAGAACTTTTTATATTTCTGGTTCCCTTCTGATAACTAGTGGCTGAAAAGGAAATATGATAGAAAGAAATGACTTGATGAATAAAAATTGAACAAATATACATTTTTTTGTTGTTTGTCTCTTATCTTTTGTAAAGCAATAAGGGAAGACATGAAGAAAGTGAAACACTATCAATTAGAGTGTTGGTTTCTACTGACTTTTCAAAAATGCAATGAGGGAGCAATTTGATAATATATTGATTGTGATAGAAATTTTACTTAAGTTTCCTGGAGCTGCAAAACATACATAGAGTACATTTTCTGTGTACATTTTTCTTTCTCAGGCTTGTTGATTAGGTCAGAAGGACTTTGTAATCAGGCGAATTATAATTTTGTCTCCAACCAGTTAGGAGAAATTATACCTCAATGTTACAAAATCATCCTGGAGGCTTTATTAGTTGGTTTCCAATCACAGAAAATGGTAAATTTCATGAATTCTTGCAGGTAGAAAATAGCTTTTGAATACATTACCTAATGACCCGAAATAGACTGGAAATAATTCAAAATAGCAGGCTAGATACTACTGACTTCTAGTTCAACGACAACACTACAAACTTCCTCCTAATGGGCAGGGGGCATTCATAGTGAGATGTTAGAATATTTAATTGCATCAACAGCAAAGAATCTCCCTTCCTCTTAGCCTGCTTAAACAAATACGAAAATCTTTTCTGAGGCTTGGTTGACATTCTCTCCTACAATGGATGATACAGTGCAAAATAGAGTCCAAATGTCTGGAAAGGTGATAAGATTAATGCACTGGTGGTAACCAGAGAAATGGGATAGAAGAAAAAAATCCCATGACCGTAAGACAACCTGATGATCGAAGTGGTGGCAACATCTGCTTGAGCCATAAGCAAAATTTTCAACAGCAAGGATTCTGAAATCATTCAGTACTGGTCTTCAGCATGTGTCAGGTTTATGACACCAGCATGGTTTTCAGTTAAGAAGTACAAATTATTTTATATTTAGTATCTTATTTTCTCCTCCATCAAGCAATGGAATGCATCACTTCTTAAATATTTTTTTTTCTGATCAAGTGGCTAGGAAATTTGGGTCATCTTAATACAACCAGATCATAATGAGCGTGAGGGCCAGTATCCTTGCCTACTAGTTATCCAATGATTGTTTGAGACTTTAACTTAATACATGAATCATAACTTACAGCTTTCAAGATAGACCATAACTAGATTAGACACACAGGAACATAGAAAGAGGAATTGAATCCTTTGGTGGGTGTTGGTGTTTAAACAGTACTGTGTCTCTGCAGATGAAATTCGAAAGTTGCAGAATTGTATTTTGGTATGTTTGAAGGGGAAAGTATTCTACCAATGGTTGTAAATGGCCTTCTCTCTTCTCTTTTTTTTTTTCTTTTACCCTTCCACTAAGCTCCAGAAGAAGAAGGAGGAAAACCTTTTCAGTGTCCAATCTGTGGCTTGGTTATAAAGAGGAAGAGTTACTGGAAGCGACACATGGTGATTCATACAGGTTTAAAAAGTCATCAGTGCCCACTCTGTCCATTTCGCTGTGCACGCAAGGACAATCTCAAATCACACATGAAGGTAAAGACAATGTTTATTGACAATGAAGAGACTAAGTGAGCAAAAAAATATAAAAAGAGGGCTATCTGGTTAAAAATCACAGAACTCGTTTCTGGACCCATGCTATTAATAACATCTTATTAAAAAAGAAAGCACAAAAAAGAAAGCACAAAAAGGTCTAGATTTTTAAAATGTATTTTTTTCCCTTTGGATTTGGTATAACTTGGTCAATGAAAACAGTCTTATTGGTTTCACTTTCTGGCTATCTTTTATAGGCACTACAATGTTGTAAAGCAGGGGTAAGGAATCTATTTTGGGTTGGGGCTGCTGACCCGCAGAAAAATCAGTCAGGGGCCACACAAAAGTGAGAAGCAAAATGGGAGGCCCCTGAATGAGACGGAGAAAGACACTCCCCACATTCCACTTTCACACCAGAGCCTATGGGGCCCAGGCTAGTAGATTTTGTGTGCTGCAGCGCTGCGGGTGAGTGGCAGGGGGCTGGAATGGCAGCACAGGCTCTCCAATGCTGAGCCTTGGAGGCTGAATCCAGGCAAGCCAGGAGCAGCATTCAGCCTCCAGGCCTGAGGTTCCCCACCCCTGCTGCTGTAAAGTTTGGTTTGCAAGCACTTCAAGGAAATGTTAAGGAAAACAATAACTGTTTTCTCTGCAATATGCTTTTGTTAACAATGTTTTTAGTAACTTACATTTCAGCCCTAACTTACCTGAAAGTTAAATGTCCATGTTATACTGGAAAAAATACAGATTAATTGTATCCTTTGGTATATATGGTTGTGACTACTTTCTTCCACTATTTGATCTGAGGAAGTGGGTCTGGCCCACGAAAGCTCATCATCTAATAAACCATCTTGTTAGTCTTTAAAGTGCTACATTGTCCTGCATTTTGCTTCAACTACCCCAGACTAACACGGCTACATTTCTATCACTAGATTTAATACAGATACAAACATTAAACTGTCCAATAGCTATTTTTCAAAATATGTCTTCAACAAAACAATTCAGATAACAAAAAACTCCAAGGAATTAATTAGGTAAAGCAGAGTCCTCAATCAAGTCTAACAGCACAAACATTTTTTTGTTGTTCTATTATATATTGAGAGAGTGTTTTACCAAAACAAGCTATTCATGAGCTGAAAAATTGCAATTACTTTGACAGCTAGTATGCCAAGTTTTATGCCAATATCAGTTAAAACAATGTATTCATAAACCCATAAAAGCAAAGCTGTAATAAAAATTGCAACTCCTATGACATTAGCTGTATGGACCTTTATGATACATATTCTAGCTTGTGATAACACCTGCAACTCAGTTGTGATATTATATAGGTTATGTTGTTTTAAAATGCTTTCAGAACAAATAAAAAGTCCGGTACAGTAGGGGACGTAAGAAATTTATTTAAATTCTTGATCATAACCATTGAGACAAGTGTTTCTGTATCTGGGTATGAATAAAATAAAAGAAAACCCCTGAATTAGAATTTTCTAAATGTGATTAACCCTACTGATCACCAGATGCACACACGTTTTGCTGCAGACTTGGTTACATCACTGCTTTCTTTAATATGTTTACACATGAGGAGTGTCCACATATGGCCAAACCAAGACCCTCTTTGGGTATGTCTACACTACCCCGCTAGTTCGAACTAGCGGGGTAGTGTAGACATACCCCTTGTTTTCCTTTATTCCCGTAGCTAGTTTAAGCTCATTTTGTGCCTTTGCCTTTCTGATCTTGCCCTGCATTCCTGTGTTGTTTGCCTGTATTTATCCTTTGTAATTTGTCCTACTTTCCATTTTTTATATGACTCCTTTTTATTTTTAGATCATGCAAGATCTCGTGGTTAAGCCAAGGCGGTCTTTTGCCATTTGTCTTTATTAAACTTCAAGCGTAGCATGGTAGAAAGGCGGTAAAGTAATATTAATATAGAATTCTATTACACTACCTTTTTTCT